CCAGGTAGGAAGGATAAACAACTTCCCACGTCTGAAGTGCTCTTGTGGACTTCCTCTGCTTAGTTCCCAAAGTCTAAGTGTTCTTGAAATTAGTTTATAGTAAATGTCTCTTCTGAACCCTCCAAAATGAGTCCTTCTGCATAACAAAATTCTCTGCATAGCTTCAGATCTGCTCCTGTAAGTATCAACAATTTTCGTTATTAAAATTTTGTTGGAAATCTTTAAAAACTAAGTTATATATTACTTGGTTCTCTTAAATAGCCTATTTAGCATAATCATTTTAGCCTTTACAATTATTACAAGTTGTCTGTTTTTATTGTAGAAATATTAAAAAATTTGGGTATGAGAAACCCAAAAAGAATGCACATAGTACCCTGGGGCATGCTCTATGCTGAAGTTCCAGCTTATCTAGTGAAGTAGAGTCATGAACTAGATGTCATGACTGAACTTCAGATCACAGTCATTTGAGTTCCTTTGTCTGATTTGGATTCTGATGCTGGCTCTTCTACTGTTTATCAGAGGATGTCATTTAGGTTTGATATCAAGAAGGCTATCAGCAGAGACCTCTCAGACCCCTCCTCTGCTGTTTTTTTGATGGCTGGGTGTTTGGAAATGAGACAACTCAGCGTAAGAGCAGAGTTAGTAGGCTCTGAGTGAGGGGCTATGGGGCTCTCTGAGAAAAGCACACAAACTTTACTTGTGGTCTCAGTGACGTTTTTATTGGTTAGTAGAAGCCTTTTTTTGCTTACTCTGGTGTTTAAGGTTGGTCTAAACTAGGGTAGACAGATAAATTTCGTGCATAAAGTCATGGTATTACTGAAACTTAATTAATACTTAAGAATTTAGCTTATGGTTTGTGCCGAGAAAAAACCTGTTTGATAACTGACTATACCAAGGTCTAGTTATAAGTCACTGTGTTATACTGCTGCGTTAAATCTAAGAACATCCACCTACCCACTCATGCGCCTTGTGAGGCAGCATGAAGGTACAGATCACCCCAGATACTCAGGATTGACTGTGTAGCAGAGGGAGGAAGCAGCCACATGGCAGCACGCCACAACTTTCACCTGGGACCTGGTGAAGCACTCCTCACTGGCCAGGACTACAACCTTTTCTTAAAATCTGGAAAGCTATTATACTGACCACTGCAAAGGAAGGTATCACCTCAGATGTAAAGCCATCTGTGGGTTGGTGTTCTGGCCTTTCGCTGTTGTTGTGATTTTCACCCTCAGTAGTGCTATAGTGTCATAGCTCACAGCAACCTCAAACTATTGGGCTTAAGCAGTCCTCTTGCTTCATTTTTTTTTTTTTTTTCATTTTTAGTTGAGACGGGATCTCACTCTTTTCTTTTTTTTCCCAGTTTCTGGCTGCAGCTGGGTTTTGAACCTTCCACCTTCGGTAAATGGAGCTAGTGCTCTACTCCTTTGAGCCACAGGTGCCACCCTCACTTTTTTTTTTTTTAGAGACAGAGTCCACTTTGTTGCCCTCGGTAGAGTGCTGTGGTGTCACAGCTCATAGCAACCTCCAGCTCTTGGGCTTAGGTGATTCTCTTGCCTCTGTCTCCTGTGGGGTCTCACTCTTGCTCAGACTGGTCTCGAACTTGTAAGCTCAAGTGATCCACCTGCCTCAGCCTCCCAGAATGCTAGGATTACAGTTGTAAGCCACTGTGCCCAGCTAACAGTGCTGTTCCTTAATCATTGCAAATGTATCTAAACTGGGTTTTTTTGGACCTCCTTTAGAGACAGCGTCTTGCTCCATGCGGCAATGCAATCATAGCTCACTGTAACTTAGAACTCCCGGGCTCAAGGGATCCTCCCACGTTAAGACTCCCTAGTAGCTGGCACTATAGGTCCACCCTACCACACCCGATTAAGTTTTTCCTTTTTTTAAAATTTTGCTATTTAGCTCAGATTGGTCTCAAAATCCTAGTCTCAAGCAATCCTCCCACTCTAGCCTCCCTAAGTGCTAGTATTACAGGGTTATAAACTACCATGCCTGGCTTAAGCTTTATTTTTTTAAGCAGCAAATTCAAATATGGACAACTTCATATTATTATGTAGAAATGTATTTTTTACATTTATCTTTGATACACTCTCAGGAAGTGAAAGTCTTTAATGATCATAGTGATCTTTGATTGAATACTTAGTACGTGACAGACACCAAATATCTCATTTAATTCTCACAAGAACCTGGTGCAGACTCTATCTTCCATTTATTCATTCAATAAATACTTGGTATCTCCTCTCTACTTGGCCCTGGTCTAGCTTTTGGGATTTTCCATTAAATAAAACAGACAGAGGCCCTGTCCTTAAGGCTCTTACATTCTAGTGTGGAGAGGTGGATGAGTAAGCAACATAAATATATAATCTATTCACTAGTCATAAAAGCCAGGTGCGGTGGCTCACACCTATAATCCTAGCACTCTGGGAGGCTGAGGCAGGTGGATTGCTTGAGCTCACAAGTTGAAGACCAGCCTGAGCAAAAGCGAGACACCTATCTGTACTAAAAATAGAAAAATTGAGGCAAGAGGATTACGTGAGCCCAAGAGTTGGAGGTTGTTGTGAGCTATGATACCACAGCACTCTACCCAGGGCAACAGCTTGCGACTCTGTCTCAAGGAAAAAAAAAAGTCATAAAAGCTACAAAGAAAAATAAAATAGGCCAGGGGGACAAAGAATGATATGGGGTGTGAAGGAGGGTTAATGCTGCTTTAGTTAGGATAATTAAGAAAGACCTCTCCGAGGAAGTAATATTTGAGCAAGAACGTGAAAGATGCAAGCCCATGTGGATATATGTATATGGGGGAAAGAATATTCCAGGCAGAAGAAACAACAGATACAAAAGCCTGCCTGTGGTGTTTGGGGGGTGCTGAGAGGTTGCTGTAAGCAGAGAGTGATAGCCAGGAAGAGGAGAGCACGGCTGGGGCAGGTCAAACAGGCCTTATCAGCTCCACAGAATTTCCAGAGTTACTGGAAGTTTTGAGAAGTGGAGATCAGTATTATCCCAATTTTTACAATTATGGCAATACAGCTTTGGAGATGGCAAATAAATAACCTGCCCACAACTAGCAAGTAGCAGAGGTAGGCTAGAATAGGCTGATTCTACAGCATGTCCTCTTAGTTGCTATGAAATTTTCTCACAATTTCTATGTCAATATGGGGGTGAGATTACTTACTAAGAATTTAGTGAGGGAACATTAGTCCTTTTATTTAAAATATGTAGAAACTGATAAAATAATTTAAAAGTCATAAAACTATTTTATTGAACAGCCTTTTTGCTATTATATACTACATAAAACTGAACTAAAAGTTAAAATAGGCAAGAAGGAAGGAATTTTATGGAAAGGCCTGAATCTCTTAGATTTTTCCCTGAATATTTATTATAAAAAATTTCCAACACATGAGAAAGTTGAAAGAATTTTACAGTGAACACCTGTATACCCTACCAATTATCTCTATAGTTTTAAATCCATACTCCTCTTTATAGCTATTGAGACACTATAGAAGAAAAGTAGTGAAAATATACTCTCATAAAAAAAGCTATCTTCTCTCCAAGTGGAGATAGAAAAGAAACTATCTGAATAATCTTTATATCCACCTAGGAATCAGGATTATGATTTATTTTTTCAAGTACTCAAAAATTCGTTTTAGACTTGAATTTCAGTGCAAATATTTGTGTTTTGGGGAGTAATAAGTAATAAACCTACTACCTGATGAAATTTTCAGAGTCATATGAAAATAAATGACCTAACTTATACTGTGTTATTCCAATATCCATCTTTTATAGGGAATATAAACCTCTCCAGAAAAAGTAAAGATAAAATAAGGAGGCAGCCGATTAGTAAGTCCTAAGTCTGAGGATGCAATATAGCCCGTGTGCCAGAGAGGGGGTCATTAAGCCTGATGTAAGCTGAAAGCTTGTGTGCCTTACTATTTGGATACTAATACTACAGCGTTTTCACTGCATCCTATATAGATTACTTTGTGCAATACAGTTTTCTACCTTTAATCCCACTTTATTCAGACTGAGTAATCAGAAAAGCATGCTTTGTAGACTAGATGTCACATGCATTCAGTAGATATGAAGCAAGAATCTAAACATGAAACATAAAATCAAGGGGGCCAAGTTTAATGAGGAATAGGGTATTTGGCCGCTCAAAAGTCTCCCCAGAGCTATCTTATAAGTTGCAAGGGGAAAAATAGTAATTATACTGCAGAAAACCCACACATTACCTTGACCAAGCGATCAGTATTAACATCCTAGCGGCAAATGGACACCTGTCTCCAGATGCCATGCCCCGAGAAGCAACACCAGAAAGAGGACACAGTGCTTCTTTTGGTCTGAAATGCAGAGCCTGACTCTGGACATGAGGAAGCACCACACACAACTATCCTGAGAAACATTTTATAAAATAACTGACATTTTGGAAGAATATAGGCCAATGTCATGGAAGACACAGAAAGGCTGAGGAACATCAGAATAGAGGACTAAAGAGATACAATCCACAAATGCCTTATCTATTCTGAACTTGATCCTGCCTCAAAAAGAGCACTGTTGGGAAATATGGACTATCGTCTAGATAAAGTTATCAAATCAATATTAAATTCCCTGAATTTGATAACTATACTGTGGTTACTTAAGACAATATCCTTCTTCTTAGGAAATACTTAGAGTATTAAGAGGTAAAAGGACATATTATATGTAACTTATTCAGAAAAAGAAATAATATGCACTAAAAGATACCGTTCACTCATGATGAACATTCCTCGTCACTTCTATTGTTGGGCTGCTCCACTGCAGGTTAATCCAGCACTAGGGGACCAGTTTGTGCTGCCTGCTACATCAAGATTTTTTATTTTCACCAGCTTTCCTGAAACTCTGACACAACTCAAATGATAATTCTGGTTTTCTTGACTATAAGCTCAACAAATAACTTATCTGCCAGTTATTATAATCAACTGCTTAAATTATATGTGACTTTTTCTAAAAGTAGTACGTACCCTTTACAGAATTTCTGTGTACTAAGCCAATAGGAGGAATTCTTGGTTAGCAGTGATTGGCCTTTCTCCTTCAGGACTACCTGAAGGCTGTGTCCATGGAAACAAGTTCTATCATTGTCTTCTTCAATCCAGTTAAACTGAAAACTTGAGGGATGTTTTTTTTCAACAGTTGGTGTCAAATCAACCAGTGTGCTAAATTGTTTTTGCAGATTCACCACCATTTCTGGGAATGGAGGAAAAAAGGAAAAGAATAAAATAAAAACGATTGTTAAATTACAAATAAAGCCTAGAATTTGCTTGATAGAAATATGCCAATGTTGGTTTTTCAGTTTTGACAAATGTACTATGGTGATATAAGAAAGTAACATTAGGGGAAACTAAAACTGGATGAGGGGCATGGGGGACCTACCTTAAAACAACGAAATGGTAATTTGATGTATATTCTACCACTATCTATCTTTCTTTAAAAAATATATTTATTTTTAGACAGGGTTTTGCTCTATTACCCAGACCAGAGTTCAGTGGTACAATCTTAGCTCACTACAGACTTGAAGTCCTGTCCTCAAGCAATCCCTTTGTCTTATTCTCCCAAGTACCGGGGACTATAGGTGCATGCCACCATGCCCAGCAAATATTTCTTTTCTTTTTTTTTTTTTAGGTAGAGTCTCACTTTGTCATGCCCAGTAGAGGGCTGTGGCATCATAGCTCACAGCAATCTCAAACTTTTCAGCTCAAGCAATTCTCTTGCCTCAGCCTCCTGAGTAGCTGGGACTATAGGCGCCCACTACAACATCTGAAATATTTCTTATTTTTTGTAAAGACTGGGTCTCGCTAGGTTGTCCAGGCTGGTCTTGAATGCCTTCTACCTTGGTCTCCCAAACTGTTGGGATTATAGCCATAAGGTACCACATCTGGCCATAACTGGGAAAAAACAAACAAACAAAAAAGAATATACAGTCGAAGGGCAATTCTACAAAGAATTCTAGAAGTCATAGAAATGTAGGATTTTAGAATTTGGCAGGAAGTTCGGCTATGTTCCTGAAAGAGAGCCCTATGGGGGTTTCTTGCACTGGATGACTCTCCTTTGGGTATATATGTGCAATGAAACATTGATTTAAAAAATGAAAAAAATCCACTTATGTACTCACACTTTTCTTTTCCTTTCTTTTTTCTTTTGAGACAGAGTTTTACTATGTTGCCCTCAGTAGAGTGCCATGAGGTCACAGCTCTCAGCAACTTCAAACTCTTGGGCTTAAAGGATTCTCTTGCCTTAGCCTCTCAAGTGGCTGGGACTACAGGTGCCTGCCACAACGCCCAGCTATTTTTTTTGTTTCAGTTGTCATTGTTGTTTAGCAGGCCCAGGCTGGGTTCGAAACTGCCAGCCTCGGTGTATGTGGCCGGTGCCCTACCCACTGAGCTTCAGGCACTGCCCATGTGCTCAC